AACGACAGAAGGAAGGAACCGAGTAGGGAATGAGCTACTACATCTGCTTATTGCGTGCGATCTCAGTGGCATGTGCATGCTCTACGTTCTACGTTCTACGTTCAACTTTCTACGTTCTACTTTGTCTTCGCGTGGTGTGTTTTTCACGTTCTACGATGTAGAACCCACGGCCCTCTGGGGGGGGGGGGGCGGCCTCGAACTCCAGCGCTGGGCCTGCGCCGCGCTGAACAATGGCGGGGGCCGGAAGGGTTGCCGCGGCGGCGCGCGTGGGCGGGGCCGCCGCTTCTCGCGGGGTGCCGAGAGGCTCGGCGCGCGCTTGAGGCGGGGGGGCAAGGCGCTCCGTCTTGGGGGCCTGCAGCTCTGAATCCAGCTTCTTGAAGCCCCTGGCCGGGGGGTCTCGGGGGGCGTGAGCTTCAGACGCTCCCCCCCTAGATCCCGGGGCGGAGATGTCCGCCCTGGCAGCCCCGACTGAGTTGCGCGCCGCATGGCGGGCGCCGGGGGGGACTTTTGGCGAGGAGACCAGCGGCTCCGCCCCTTCTCCTCCGACCACCGCCCGCGCGGCAGCGCTCGCCAGGTCCAGGCGAGAGCCCCAATCGGCGCGGCGCTCGCAGGGGCCGGGGCCGACGGGCGGGTCGACGGGCGGAGGAGTTCGTTCCCCGGCGACGCAGCGACTCTGCGCGCAACCCGCGCGCCGCTGGCGTGCGAAAGCGGGCGGGGGGGGCGGCTCCGGAGGGCGGCTGGACCCCCCCCGAGACCGCCGGCTGAACGGGCGCCGCGAAAAAATCGAAACGATCGGGGCGCCCCCATCCGCGGCCTCGCGCGACGACGAGTTGGCCCCCCGCCCGCGCCGGCAAGCCCGCGCCTTCGAGTTGCCCGCGGCCGAAATTGAAGACCCCTCTGGCGACGCGCTCGGGGGCCCGGCATCGCTGAATATCCCCCCGCCCCCGAGGTCCAGCCCCGCCGCGCGCCGGGGGCAGACGGATCTCTAGGTGGCATCGGGGCAGCCGGGGGCGTGAATCCCGCGGGCCGCAAGCGGCCCCTGGCAGCGAGCATCTCGGGCACAGAGTAGAGCCCTGACCGTGGCCCGACAGGAATCGCACCGCCTGAACTGCCGCCGCTCCGAGGGCCGGCAGCGCCCGGGGGCCTGGGTGGCTTCCAGCCCGCGCGCGGCGCGGAAGCCGACGCCCTATCCATCTGATTCCCCAATGTGCGCCCCTGACGGCGAATGATGCGCGCTGGCGCGCCGGCGCTCTCCAGGATACTCCTCGAGCGCGCTCCGATATCTCCCGAGGAACCGAGGGCCCTGCGACCCTACGACAGAAGCTGAGGCGTTGGAGACGCGCGCGGGGGCGCCCTGCCCCGGGGCGCTTCCGTCTCCAACCAGTGGCCCGGGGCTCATCGAAGCGAAAACACTCAAGCAACTAGTTATCGATCTCAGCGAGAGACTCCTGGGCACGTGGCCGGCCCCTGGCCGGGCATAGTTTCAATGGGGATTTGCTACTTGGCAGGCCCCTCTCTGAGCGGAGAGGGGGCCTTGAAAGGGGGGCAATTCTGGGGCCTCCTGCCAGCGCGCGCCATCCCTCCCACCAGTGTGCCCGACAGAGGCCCCGCTTAAACCCCTGCTGGAGCTCCCTTCGCCGATGGGCACCCCCCAGAACAGGGCCCCGTAGCCCATGGCGATGACTCCAATGCTTTTGGCACATCTGAGAAGTGCCCCCGGTCATTCTTCCTGGCCTGGTCGATCTGGCCCCCAGCCTCCTTGAAGATGCTCGCGGCAATGTCGCGACATTGATTGGGGAACACGTCCTTGCGCTTCTGTATCTCTTTGCTATCCGTGCCAGACAGCTCGCGTAGTCGACCACCTTTGAAACATCGAACAAACGGGTGTCAATGACTAGATCGATCGGCACAACATCAACCATCATCTACATAAAAGGGGAGTTTTGGGCGAGGCATCGCTATCGCCACTAGATGCAACAGCGCCAGACTTCTTTGCGGTCGCGATCCGCATGTCCCGTGAAGCGGCTGGCCCTTCTCCCTCAACATCTACAGTTCCTCGCGCCACTCGGTGCGCTTGGTAAACCCATCTTGCGAGAACGTTCTCTTTATCGCGCACCAGGGCACGAGCTTGCTGGACACGCTGCTGAACATATTGGACTGGGGATTCTACCTGCTTCTCAAGAGCGTCCGCCATCTGAGCGGGCTTGCTGGCTTGACCTCTCTCTCTCTCCCCTGTCTTGTGAAACAGGGCCGCCCAGTGCGTGCCCCCCTTGCGCGGAAAAAAAAGGTGCACCAACCTTGCAGGCAGAGCAGGGAGACCGTCATGCAGCCGGGGGAAAAATCATCACGGTTGTTGCCTCGCCCTTGCCGCCAAACCCCGTTGTCCCCGTTGCCCTTGCCTTTGGCCTTGCCGCCGCGCCTCCCATTCCGAGAAGACTGCATGGCCGCGCACGCACGAGGGAGTCCGCCGAAAAAACCCAAGCACCTTGGGCCTCGCGAGCTTTAGAAATCTCGACCTTGGGCAAGGAACTGTAGCAACTCTTGCGCCACACGTAGCGCCACACATTGCGACGGCAGTTGCGTACTCCACATGGCCTCTTCCCTGGCTGCGGCTTGCGGTTATCATTGACCCACGGATCGAGATATAAACCCTCGTCCCAAACGATATAAGCAACACCGGCCATGGGCAATGAGTAACAAACGTAGAGCACGTTGTAGCGAAAGCACACGGTACCTTGAAACAACTGTTTCCTACTCCTCTTCCTCCTCCTGTTCTTCCTCCTGTTCCTCCTCCTCCTCCTCCTCCTCCTCCTCTTGCTCCTCCTCCTCCTCATCCTCATCCTCCTCTTCCTCCCCTCCCTCTCCCTCTCTCCCTTTCTTTCTCGCTCTCCCCCTCCATCCCCCGTCCTGCACGCTCTTCACCCTCCTCCCTTCCCCTCTTCTGCATTTTTTCCTCTTCACTACCTGCCCTCATGTGTACTTTACGCAATTCGTATGCGTCGGCCGGACGAGCTGGGATTTGATGTTCCCTCACAATTTGGCGTCTTGGAGCTTCACTCTTCCAGTTTGTCCGTGGATGCTTGGGGCCATCGAGTTTTGCAATGGGGCTCTTGGCCGAGCGCGCTGCGGGCAAACCCACAGCATTTACACAGACGGATGCAGGGCGGATGGTGCTCAAAGTGCACAAATGTAAACCAGGTCGGTCTCAATGCCTGGCTTTCGGCTTAACGCCGTGCCCAGTTCCACGGATGGATCACAATCCATACCCACCGGCCCCTTTGCAGGGCCATCGGGCTCCGCGGATTCGGCTTGCTCTCCCTGCTCCAGATCCAGGTTCCCGCCTCCGATGTAACAATTCTGGGTTTTGCTTACGATTGTGAATTGTTCAAGTCAAGTGTTCAAGTCCGCGCAGGGGGGGAGGGACAGAAAAAGAGCCTGGTCACCATCACCTGGGGGGGTTCTCAGAATCTCCTGGGGGGTCCTGGGACACGTGGAAAAACATGAGAGTCGCGTCCCCGAACCCATAACCCCCAGTGAATTACGCCATGCTCGCAACCCCGCGGCCGTAAACCTTCGTACATTACGCAAGATTCGCGCCCCCGCGGCCATACACCCTCGCAAACTCCACTGTGTTTGCACCTCCGAAAACAAAATTCCGGGTAGAACATAAAATGGTCGCGTCTCCGAGGCAATCTTCTCTGGTAATTTAAACCGTATCTGCATTCCCGAAGCCGCGATCCCCCGTAAATCAGGCGTTCTACGCGTCCCCGACATCATAAACACTCGTAATGTACGCAGTCTTCGCGCTTTTGATCCTCCTCCTCCTCCTCCTCCTCCTCCTCCTGCTCCTCCTGCTCCTGCTCCTGCTCCTCCTCCTCCTCCTCCTCCTCCTCCTCCTGCTCCGCCTCCTCCTCCTCCTCATCCTCCTCCCCCCCGCGGGCACCAGGGATGGCCCGAAGAGGTCCTCCAAGGCCCCCCCCCTTGCTCCCAAAAATCCCTCTGTCCTTCCTGGTTGCTCGTTTTGTTTCACTATACATATGTCTCTTTTGCCCCTTGTCTCCTCAACTCTCATGGGCAACATTTCTGAACGGGCTTGTGAGGATATTTTTGCTTGGCGGCTCCAAGGACAGATCCAGGAAGCGGGACGGGCTCGGCTGGGGCACAAGGCGAGATAATTGACAACGACGGCGCATAGGCCGACGCAGCAAGTGCACGTGCAAGAGGCAAACTGCCCCCCCCATTCAGATGCGAGCGACCCAGGAGCGTTAGCGCAGGCACCAAGCACGGAGCGTTTTTTTTTTTTTTTTTTTTTTTTTTTTTTTTTTTTTTTTTTTTTTTTTTTTTTTTTTTATTTATATATATATATATATATATATATATATATATATATATATATATATATATATATATATATATATATATAAACGCAGGCGGAAGCGCCAGCGGCGGAAGGTCGCGAACGGGCCGCGGACGCGACTAAATGACCTAACGCGCGCAGGGCCGCGGATCAGGCGGCTCACGACAGCGTCCAGGGGGGCGAGGCCGATGCAATCCAAGTGCCATGACAGCCCCTGAACGGGCATGCAGGTGCGTCCAACAAGCCTGAGGTAGGCACCGAGACGACCTAGCGCAGCCAAAATGGCGCGATAACGTTCCAACGTCCAGGTGCGGACAAGGGAACGATCCGAGACGGAGCGAGGATACGCGAACCGTGACGAATTGTCCTTCCTCATCCACTCCACGCCTCTTCTCCGTTTTCCGCATTCTCCAACCCCATCCCGCCGTACTGATTCCTCGTGCTCCGTCCTCTCGTCTCATCTTCTCCCCTTTGTTCCTCCTCCCTGTTCATCAGCGACACGCCACTCCCCCGTTTCCTCATGCTTTTCTCCCCCTGCATCCGTTCCTCGTCTCTCCCCCTCCTCTCACTCCCTTCCTCCCCCTCCTGCTTGCCCCCGTTCCCCGCGCATCGAAGCTCGAACTGTAGTTCGACCGCCACAGTCCTGAGCAGGTGCTGGCAATACTCCGCGGTCTGCTCTGGCCCCATCGCGCCGTCCTGCACGCTCGTCTGCAGCGCGGTGATCAGGAGAGACAGGTCGTCCGGCTCCATCGGCGACCTGAAGGGAGGGGTGGGGCAAGCTCGGCGACTCGTGAACTGACTCGATGGATTACTTTAGATGCAAGACGCATATCACGGCCGATGATGCTCCACAAAGCTGCGCTGGCGGTGTCTGTCAATTGCATAGTGTGAAGGTCTCGAAATCATCCACAGTCGGTGTGTGATGCGACGTAATCATCGAGGCCTGCTATGTTATCTTTTCTGACGAAGCTGTACATCTCCATTCAGGTACGGGTCCCTGCAATCTTCATCATCTTGGGCCCGATCCAACGCGAAGTACGATTCATGGTCAACTGATACTCGTTGAGAAATGACGCATCGTGCCATATCTACTCCGCTCCGCTACCACGCCACGTTAGAATAAGCATTTTTTTACGAACAGCTATGTATTTAAAAGACTCGTACATGTCACGAATCGTTAGATGACGGACTATACCACTTGGGCTACATGGCAATGGAAACTCCTCCTGGCATTCGACTTCTTCACGTTCAAACCGAACCTCATTCCTCCCCCTTGTTCTTGATTCCTGGTGGCTGGAAAGATAATCGTTCGTAGCCCTCCCTCCTCTTCCTCCTCCGCCTCCTCCTCTTCCCCCCCCCTACAACAAAAAAACACACCACTCGAGGTCTCAACGTTCCAGGGCCTCCTCCTCCTCCGCCTCCTCCTCCGCCTCCTCCTCCTCCGCCGCCTCCTCCTGCCTTCCTCCTCCCTTCCTCCTCCCTTACTCCTCCCTTCCTCCTCCTCTTCCTCCTCCTCCTCCTCCTCCTCCTCCTCCTCCTCCTCCCGCTGCCCTCCTCTCTCCACGTGGGCTTCGTCCCGCCCGCCTTCCGAAGAGGCTCCGGAGCAGCGGCGCGGGCACCCTCTCGCGGACGTACCTGGCGAGCACGGCCGGGTGCCTCTTCATCGAGTGGAAGTGTCGCAGCAGCTCGGAGGACGTCCGCGGGCTGCCAGCTGGCACCGCGGGCCCCACAGTGGGCGCCGCCACCGCGGCGCGCGTCCGAGCCTGGGAGGGGGGCAAGGACACCAGTTCAACTCGGACCCACACGACCTCGGACCAAGCTGAACTTGGACCCCAATTTAACTCGGACGCATCTGAACTCGGACCCGGGCTGAACTCGGACCCGGCTCTCGGACTCAGAAAACTGGGACCCAGCTGAACTCGGACCCAGCTGAACTCGGACTCAGCTGAGCTCGGACCCAAGAACTCAGACAGATGACCGCGCTGCAGCGGGAACGCCTGGGTCCGAATTCAGCCGGGTCCGAGATCAGCCATATCCGAGATCAGCCGGGTCCGAGCTCATTCAGGTCAAAATTTCCGGGTCCGAGTTCAGCCGGGTCCGAGTTCGTCCGCCGGTTGAACTCGGACCTGCTCGCGCTCGAAGTCTCGCGGCCACGTGCCCGCGCGACCTCCCCGTCGCCGACGGCTCTGTTGGAGGCTCGGAGATGAAGTGATTGCTTGCTGCTTTCCCCGGTGACCCCGTGCCGATGATTAAAGGACCCCCCCTTAACACGCTAGAGTTGATTACCCACGGCCAAGAAGAGTTTGGTCAGGGGCGCGGGGCGCGGAGGCCCAAGTTTTAAATCACTGCGAAAAGTTCACCATCGAGGTTAACTTCCTTCTTATGTTGAGATAGCAACATCAAGCGAAGCGGAAACGTTTTCGAGGATCTCTCAAGCGACACCAACAATTGTTGGAGGCAGCCTCAAGCGAAACGATCAATGTTTTAAGGATGTCTCAAGCGGAACCATCACTTCTTCGAGGATGTCTCAATCGAAGCGAGAAACTGGTCGATGATGTCTCAAGCGAAACAAGCTTTATTCCGAGGATGTCTCAAGCGAAGCGACCAATAACAATCTCCGTAGTCATTTGGTGGCTCTAGATTTCGAGCTTTCCAATATACTCACAAAACTAAAACTCAAACCGACGCACCAAGGCGCCAAATATCCAAGTCTCGAGCATGTCTCAGACGAGCTTCTTCGACGAGGGAGAGATGCTCGAGATCAACACCCAGCTACCGCTCGAGACAGTCAAGGAGAGCGAGAAGCTCGAGGAACGCGAGAAGAAGGAGAAACCGCTGGAGGGCGTCAAGAGGAGCGGGATCGAGAAACCGCTCGAGGACGTCAAGGGCCAGAAACGCAGCAAGGAGCTGCTCGAGGTCGCGAACAACAGTGACAATGAGGAAAAGCGAGACTGGCAGAACGCCAAGCGCCGCAAGTCGGCACCGCAGCCTGAGGACGAGGAGCTTCAAGACCAGGACGAGAAGCCCGAGGACGACGACGGCAAACGCCACAAGCTTGAGCCCGAGCCGGTTGTAGAGGCGCTCGCCGAACGGCTCCAGCGCAAGTGGGCGCTCGAGGGTGCGCCCTAGTAGGTTGCTCGAGAAGGCGTTGGCGCCACGAAAACAAGCTCGAGGGGTGCCTCAAGCGGAACGCGTTAAGATTTCAAGACGGTCTCAAGCGAAACGATACATGTCTTAAGGATGTCTCAAGCGGAACCAACAATTCTTCTCGAGGATGTCTCAAGCGAAACGAGAGACTTGTCCAGGATGTCTCAAGCAAAACAAGCATACGTCTCACGCGAAACGAAGATTTGCCCGAGGATGTCCCAAGCGAAACTAGAGATTTGTTCGAGGATGTCTCAAGCGAAACAAGCAATTGCTCGAGGATGTCTCAAGCGAAACGAGAGACTTGTCCAGGATGTCTCAAGCGGAACCAACAATTTTTGAAGGGCGCTCAATTGAAGCGAAAAGTGTCTTCAGGATGTCTCAAGCGAAACAAGCACCTGCTCGAGGATGTCTCAAGCGAAACGAGAGACCTCCCGAGGATGTATCAAGCGAAACGAGCAATTGCTCGAGGATGTCGCAAGCGAAACGAGAGACTTCTCGAGGATGTCAAGCGAAACGAGAGATAGGTGCGAGGATATCTCAAGCGAAACGAGCAATTGCTCGAGGATCTCCAGCGAGACGGGCAGTTATCCTGCTCCCGCCCGCGACCGTTATGGCTCGAGCCTTTCGAGCCACCGAACCCCTGCTTTGAGCCTTTCGAGCCTTTCGAGCCTCAGCCGCAGCCTTTCGAGCCTCGCCGTGTCTCTCCGAGAGCAGCACCGAGCTTTCCGAGACCCGGGACAGCCAAGTCGTGGCGCTGCTCGAGCAGCAGATCAAGCTGCTCGAGGAGAACAACAAGTACTTGGAGTACATCGCCGAGAAGGCTGGCTGCGCCGAGACGCGCCAGTGCCAGTCGAGCGGCGAGGCCACCGACGCCTCGAGGATGACGGGTAACTACGTCCGAGGCCAGCTAGCGTTGTGGAGCAAGCACGTCAAGAAGATGATCCTCGAGACCGCCACCAAGAAGGGCAGCATGGCGAGCATCCAGTACGCAGGGATCTTCGCCGAGAAAGGCAAGAGGAGGTCCGAGCTTTTCGCGGCGATATTCTTCGAGACCTTCGTCGAGGGCTCCGAGGCGCTCTTCGACGCGTTCGACGGCAAGGACGCGAGATGCGAGGAGCTCTACCACTTGCTGCCAAGCTTCAGGGCCGGGCTCCTAGACGAAGCGACACCGAGGACACCATGCTGGGCGAGAAGGCGAGCCAGATGCCCGAGGGAGTGTCGGACCAGGCTGTCAAGGAGGTCCTCGGCGATATCCCCCCAGGGCTCCAAGCGCTCTACGAATGGTTTTTGCCAGTGGGCGAGCAATTCAAGCCTGTCGTGGCGAGCATCAACGCCGAGTGCGCAGAGGATTTCGAGACGGTCAACATATTGCCAATCGAGGCCAAGGCCTTCTTCGAGAAGGTACCCTGACAAGGTCAAGAACGAGCGCGTGGCCACGACCAAGGCCATCGTCAAGTGGTGCTGGCAAGTCGTCGAGACTGCGCAGAAGCAGTGCCAGCTCGACGAGCACGAGTACCACGCCAAGCGCGCCAAGCTCCGCGAGGATACCGAGAGCAGAAGGCAAACGAACACGGGCATATGCTCTTCAAGAAGAACTTCCCGAAGTACGCCGAGGTTAACGGGAAGTATGCCGAGCTGAAGGCCGAGAAGGGGGCCAAGAAATCCGAGGCGGAGGCCTGAGGCTTACGCGAGGCCTGATCGAGTAGCGAGCGGCGAGCAAGGCACAGCTCCCTCGGGCTTTTCGAGGGGCGTTCCCCGAGAGGCCTGTCCAGGCCCCCTCTCGAGCGTAAAAACATCGATCGATCCTCGATCGATCTTCGGATCGAGGCTCCGAGAGCCTCGGGCCGTCGTGGATCCGAGATCATAAGATCTCGGATCCCTGGCCCGAGGACATCGGACTCTCGATTCGAGGATCGATCGAGGATCGAGCCTTCTCCTCAAGGTCTTCCTCCTCTTCGATCCCTTCGTCGAGGCTCGATCCTCGATAGATCTTCGGATCGAGGCTTCAAGAGTCTCGGGCCGTCGTGGATCCGAGATCATAAGATCTCGGATCCCTGGCCCGTGGACATCGGACTCTCGATCCGAGGATCGATCGAGGATCGAGCCTTCTCCTCAAAATCTTCATCCTCTTCGATACCTTCGTCGAGGCTCGATCCTCGATAGATCTTCGGATCAAGGCTTCAAGAGTCTCGGGCCGTCGTGGGTCCGAGATCACAAGATCTCGGATCCCTGGCCCGAAGACCTTGGACTCTCGATCCGAGGATCGATCGAGGAAGGCGGGGAGGGGGGGAGAGGGAGGGGAAGGAGGGGGGGAGGGAGGGAGGGAGGGAGGGGGGAAAGAAGGAGGGAGGATGGAGCGAGGGAGGGAGGGGAGGGAGAGAGAAGGCGCGGAGGAGAGGGAGAGAGGTGAGGGGGGGAGGAAGGAAGGGAGGAGGGAGGCGGCGGCGGCGACGTTCGAGGATGTCCCAAGCATTCGTCCGAGGATGTCTCAAGCGAATCAAGCGTTTGTTCAAGGATGTCTCAAGTGAAGCAAGCATGTTTTCAAGGATGTCTGAAACGAAACGAGCAATTCTGCAAGGATGTCTGAAGCGAAACAAGCAATTCTGACGGAATGCAGTCCTTATCTCCTCCTCCTCCTCTTCATTCTTTCTCTAACATTATATATATATATATCTCTTCCTGCTTTCTGTCTACATCCCTCTTTGTCTCTCTCTCCCTGTCTCTGCTTCTCTTTATCTCTCTTTCTCTCTCTCTCTCTCTTCTGTCTGCTCTTTTCTTTTTCTTTCCGTTTCCTCCCCCCCTGCCCCCCCTGAACTTTTTTTATCGCTGTGATTTACTATCCACGGAAACCGAGGCACATGAGCTACCCTACACGAGCAGATGAAACTCTTGATTTCCATTGTTTGTTTGCAAATTAGATATAATAGGTTTGGAACTTTGGATGTTCTTCTCCTCCTCCTCCCCCTTCTTCTCCTCCTCCTCCTCCTCCTCCTCCTCCTCCCTCCTCCTCCTCCTCCTCCTCCTCCTCATCTCTCGCTTTCTATTTCTAGTAAGTTGTTACCTTGATCTCTCCTGGAGGACCCTAGAGGCCCATGTACCGGGACTTCCTTCGTTGCCAGGAGGCCCATGTACCGGGGCTTCCTTCGCAATTGCCAACTCTTCGCCGGAACACCAGCCCCTGCCGGGGCCCCGCACTTGTTGAGTTGTACGTGCCATAACTAATGTTGTGGCTCAAGACGCGTCATTGTGAAGATTTGAGCACGCACTGGAGAAAGCGAGATCCCTTGCCTTATCTTGCTGCCGCCGTTGCTACGTGCCGTTGCACGTTTCTCTTTCTCTGTCTCTCTCTCTATCTCTCTCTCTCTCTCTTTGTCTCTGTCTCTCTCTCTCTCTGTCTTTTTCCTTCTCCCCCTGGCACCCTGAACTTTTTTATCGCTGTGGCTTACTACCCACGGACACCGAGGCACATGAGCTACCCTACGCGAGCAGATGGGAATCTTAATTTCCATTGTTTGCTTACGAATTCAACTTAATAGGTTTGGAACTTTAGCTTTTCTCCTCCTCCTCCTCCTCTCTCGTTCTCTCCTTATGTCTATATTTCTCTACTTCTCTCTCTCTCTCTCAGTCGAAGTATCTGTATATTTCTGTCTCTGTCTCTATCTGTCTTCCTCCTTCTCCCCCTGGCACCCTGATTTTTTTATTATTATTATCGCTGTGGTTTACTATCCACGAGCACCGAGGCATTACCCTACACGAGCAGATGAACATCTGAATTTCCATTGTTTGTTTACAAGTTAAATTTG